GTTATGTTCAATAATATCAGATAATCCTCTTTTCCCCTTACCTCATTGAAAATTCTAGTTTAGTTACTTGCCATACTATTTTGCTATTCGTTAGAAAGGAAGGAAACCGAGAAAAGACAAGTATGGTCAGAAATAATATCTTTATGCATAATGTGGGTTATATGGAAGAGAAGTCAAAGATTCTTTGAAGGAATTAAGAATCCCTACGTAGCTTGAAATACTTTTAGTTTACAGTTTCAGCTTTCTGATGCAGCTTAAAAAGCGTACATGATATAAATGTCTTCTTGGATTTTATGGCTCCCTACCTTTTGAAAAGGGATCTAAAACGACAAGAAGCACAAATGTGGTCTGAAATATTTTATTTTTATTTTTTTTATCTTTATTCATTATACGGGTTATGGATTATGCATTATATGGGTTATATGGAAGAGAAGCCAAAGATTCTTTGAAGGGGGAAACGGACATACATCTTTGTACTTTTTGTCATTTCACTTCCTTTTCCGAGTTATTGAAATGGATGCTCTTTACTCATTCAGAAAAGAACTAAAAGTCAACTTAGCCCTTAACTCTTCATTTCGTAGCATCAAGCCCAATGTCAAACGTCGAAGAAGTTTTTTTTCCTCTATGATAGAACTGAACTTTAGATCTGAGATCATTTTCTAATTGGTTTACTATGAATTTCAGCTAATTGCAGGAAAAAATATTTGCACCGATATTCCAAGCTGCACATCGTAAGTACTGCATTAAGATTAATTACAGTATGCCTTGCTGGTCTAAAATGCTATTCTCTTTTGTATGCTAACAATATTAGCTGTGCTTGTGTTACTCAGTCATGCACCAAACTTGATGCTGGAAGGAGTGTCAGTCAAAGTGGTAGATCCTCAGTCTCGAGAGTGTTGTTTGAAAGGATATACGTTTTTGCTGGAACCAGAAGCTAAGGTGATCGTGTCCTTCATTCTTCCAGTATTCCAGTTTCTGTCTTGTGGGTTCAGTTCAGAGTCGTCTATAGTTTTTGTAGATATTTGTTGTGCTATAGTTATGCATCATAAGAAGTTCAGTTGGAGGTCAGAAGTAATGCTGCAAGTTTTGATTTTCTTTGTCATCTGAAAATTTTATAACCTTTGCCTTTATTCAGCTTCTCTGCCACTTTGCTATTACATCAAGCAAGTCGTGCAAGATGAACTTGATTGAGAATTACTTAGATATTTGTGCTCGACTAAGATCATTTATTCCCTTTTCCTTGCAGTATAAATTTGAGGGCAGGTTGCAGTCCTTGTTGGAAGTTGGGGGTGCCAATGTTTCTTCTGCAAACATGGTCTGTCCTAATGTCCTATGTTATTGTCACCTGTTCCTCCTTCCCCTGATTCCTTGGTCTTCCTATCTGCATCTTCTAGATAACTCACCCCTTAAGATTAAAATAATTTGGTAACTCTGACCATGTTTGAGAAAAGGTAGATGGCACAGCCTCGTGAATGGTGTCTTTCTTAATGGATAAGGGGGGTCAAGTTCATAAATCGGAAATGCTTGTCGGGAGGGGGGAGAACGGCGAATATTTTGAAGATACAAAAGGCCTGAGCAAGCATTTTAAAAACCGTCACTCACTTAAGAGCATCCTTGTTGTCCTTTTCCCTTTTTGTTATAGGACTCGTGGCACTCTTTGTACTTGTACTAGAAAGTATACTTACTTTGAGTTCAGTGTATAAAGGTGTCTTCATCAATAAGCAAAGTGGTGGTAAAATTTTTGCTTGATTGGACTGGAGATCCTTTGTGGATAAAAGAAAAAGGTAATAGCAATTCACAAAGGTGCTTAAAGAGTAACACCTCAATAACAGAAACCCTGACAACAAGGTTTTGGATAGTTAACTGCGGCAGCCTCACTTCCTGTGTGGGCAGTTCCTTTGTTTTTTGCTTCATTAAGTCAAACCTAATGACTTACTAAAGCAAACATAGACCGAAATTTGTTTCAGTAATTAATTTTTGGAGAGGGAGAAACTCTCTTAACATGGAATGACACCAAGTTAAGAAGTGAAGGCATAAAAGAGATAAGAGTTTTTGCTCTTTCTCAAAAAAAAAAAAAAAGAAGACAGAAGAGGTTTTGCTATAAGGAGAAGATGGTCTATAGTGGGAGGATTAGACACAGACGGATAAGATTTTTGATTCATACAACTCCAAATATACTGCATGAGTCATGGTTGAGTTGAATCATAAGAGTAACAATGTCGATCTTTACATTTCCATTTTCTTGAGTGATTCCAACTTTCAACTCCTCTTCCTTTTTCCTTTTTCCCTTTCTGTGGGGTGGGGTTTCCATGGGTGCTCGTCCTTTCGGCATTCAAGGTGCAAACTATTGAGACTATGCTAATGGTTTTGCATGCAAGGTACATACTATTGACCCACAGATGATTGTACGTATTAATGTGTGAACTTACTAGCACATTTCATTTAACTTTTAGGCCTTGGAGCAAAATGGAGATGACCGTGTGGTGTGTGTAGTTCCTGCAAGATCAAGCAGCTCTAAGTGTTTTCCTAACCATAGTTCTTTGCCTTGGGTGAGCGAGGTAGATCTGGTTTCTGCAGTTCTATCTGGATATCTGGATCCTTCTCTAATCACAACTCCACCAGGTGAGTATAGTTATGTTTAAGATTTAGTCTTTTCTTTGCATCCACCATGTCAATCAGCTTTCTATTTACAGAAATATCTATTCAGTATTCTCTCCATTCTTGCCTCTCTTTTTGACTCATGTTCTCGTCCCTCCTTCCCAACCCCTTTCCCCCCTAATTTTTGGTTTAAAACTTTGACCAGCAGATTCAGACAGCAAAGCATGATCTTATTGAATTTACAAATTACATGCTCAGGTGTTGATCACTAACTTGACAGAGGATCGTCATTTTGAAGCTTGTTAAACATATTATGAACCATTGACTAGTTTGGCCTGTGGTATAACCTCATCATCATTTGAGGTGGTCAAGGATCATGTCCTTTTATCACTGTGCCTACTGTTGTGCAAAAGCAAATAAAAATTGCTGGTTAGACTAGCCAAGAGGTTTAAGTGTGGCTTTAAACTGGTTGATAAGGTCGACTAATCGTGCAATGAAACTTTTCATAAAATCGTGCGCCACCTTGTTTCAAACTGCTTGAGTAAATTTTTGACTAGGGGGGGATTCATTATTACTGCGGCGGACCAATCCCCTTTAGCTAGCTAGAAACTCGCCACTAATAAGCATTGTAATTGGACATTGATCTTGCAGCTGGTGATGACTTTAAGCCTGGACATAATAAACAGAAAACAACAGTTTTCCCTATCACAATAAGCTTTTTATAGATTTATTATTCGCAAAAACCCTGCTTTATATCACTTGCTAAGAATGGATTCAAGAAGTTTCTTACAAAAAGAAAATTGCCTGTAGAACAGAACTGTGAGATGTTTTTAACGCGTGAATAGCTTATTTTACTGTTCTGGCTTCAAGGAGTACCTGAGCAGAATCCATATTTATGAATATATGTTTTCTGCCAAATTTATCTCATGCAAACTAAATAATTGTCCTCTGCAGTGCTCATTACATCTTCATGCTCCACGGATGAGACAGTGGTTGCAGATTCAGATGCAGAAACAGAAAGTATGAAATCAGATCACATTGCTGCTGCTGTCTGTTCAGTAGAAGCTCTAGAGTATGACAGCAAGGCAACAACTTCTGCACACAAACTAGAATCTGTTGAAAATTATAACGAAGATAAGTGTTCTGTCCAAATAGTTATACCTGGGGATAAGGGATCCAAGAGGGACACATCTCCCAGTTCAACAAAACCTGTTAAACATGGTGATGCTACCACTCATGACCCTGAAAGTGGTTACATCAGGCGCTTTGGAGTCAAAACTGATAATACAGTGGCAAAAAAAGATAAAACTGATGAGCCGGAAAATGGGAAGTTGGACATCATATATAGCCAAGATTTAATTGTTCGAGATTCTATCATGTCGTCACCAGTCTCTTCAATAAATGGTGGAGTTACAAATTTTAAGCGCTTCCGTAAGGTTAGTATCTATTGCACTGTCTTATGTGAAATATATTCATATCGGAGTTTAGCTAGCAATTTCAGCTTGATCATGTCATATTAACTTTCTAAATCAGTGATGAATTTAATATTGGCTACGATGAAGATCTTTGGCAATTCACTTTTGCAAGAGTTGCAGTGATATCCAAACGAATTAGTTCCATGTGTCCATTTTGCTTGTCTAATATGCAGCTGTGTCCAGTGAAATCCTAGGTTTGATTTGATTGTAACTCCAGGAAGCATATCAGTTTGTAGACATAAGACGGCTTTCTGAGGGTCCTTATAAAAAAATTGCTTTCTGCAGTTCGCTGTAACTGTATTGCTTCTTTAAATTACAATAAGTTTTATCTATGAATTGCAATTCTAAATTGATGCATCTTCACTTTAGGTTTGGTTCCTCTACTTCTTTGGTCAATGGATATGATTATGGTGCTATACTTTAGATGTCAATATTTGCTGTTCTCATGACTTAATTTTGTAGACAAGTGCTCCATCTCCGAATAGCTTTGAAATCTTCATTCCGTTCGCCAAGTATCCATATCAGTAAGCAGCTAAGTCTATCTCTGGTTTGTTTATAGTCTTCATTTCATATCATATTCCTTCAATGTTGATCCGTGATCTTGATGGCAGAGAATCTGAGTATAAGAATGAAGATGTTGCTGAATCGATTAAAGAAGAGAAAAAGAGAAAACAAATGGAAGCTATTGCCGAGGACCTATTTAACAGTGAAAAGGTCTGTAATCATACTTGTATTATTGTAGCTAATATTGCAGCAACTTTATCTCTCAAGCCAGTGCTTCTATTATTGTATCATAGGGAAGACGACGTGGTACAGCTGGTTCCCTGCATGGNATATTCATTTTTGTAAAAAAAAAAACCCTCAACTTATAAGCCCAAACCGATTAATCCAAAACCGAGCTTAAAATATCCGATCCAATCCGAGCTTATTTGGATTGGATTTGGATTGTCATTTCTTCATTTTAAAAAATGAAAATCCAAACCGAAATTTTCATATCCAATCCGAATTGCCCAAACACCCATCCCTATATCTACCTATCCAAAGGCGACTCAATTCTTGGGGCTTGAAACCAGATCTGATTAAGGACGGAGGAGTACTTACTAGGTACCATCCACCGCAATCTTTGGGCAAGGCCTATCAGTTGGATGCCACTGAATACACCAAAGTCCAACAATAGCTAGCTTTCTCACAATTAATGTAGCATCCCGTTCTTCATCTATCCGAATATGTAATTCTCCCCGCTTCATATAAAGGTCATATACTTAATATAACTTTGTCATGTGCATCAGGTAATGGACTAGACAATGCACCAGCAAAAGGAGAAAGTGATGGAAATTTCTGCGTGGAAGTGGGGAGTCATTTACTGCAACAAGAATGTGATTGGCAACTACCCTGTCATAATTAGTACAACAAACTTCATTGAATGTCATTTTACAAGAAACATTACATTAACTATGAATCAATCATAATATGTGTCTAGTTCAACAGGTTTATCAGCAGCATTTTCTAACAAAGCCATTGAATCAGACGAAAATGTAATGGAACTTTCCATCTGATGAAACAATGGAGCAATTGGTTGAGATTGAAGAGGCTGAGGAGGTAGTTGTAACACTTCAACTTCACCTTCAAGCATTTCTATTACTTCACTCATTGTAGGGCGCTGTACCGGATTTGTTTGTATGCACCATAACGCAACTATAGTCATCTTTCTACTTATCTTCTTTTCATCTTCATTTGCTTCTTCATCCACCACAATTTCCTTCCCCCTTTTGAACTTATCATAAATCCAAGATGGAAAATATTGGCTAGAGTTTTCTTCATTTGCAACTACATTTCTCTTCATGTCCAACATTTCCATTAGCAGCATTCCAAAGCTGTAAACATCAGCTTTATAAGATATTGCTCCAATGCTTCTGCTGATCAACTCTGGAGCTACATATCCAATCGTTCCACGAGCAGCTGTAAGAGTCACAATGCTATTATCCGTTGGATATTGTTTAGCAAGTCCAAAGTCAGAAATCTTTGGGATGAAATTCTCATCCAAAAGAATGTTGTGAGGCTTGATGTCAAAGTGCAAAATTCGTATGTCACAGCCTCGATGCAAATACTCAATTCCTCGAGCCACTCCAACAACAATTTCATACTTCCTCTGCCAACTTAACACAGGGCTTCCTTCTTGACTGGCGATGTACTTATCAAGTGATCCATTGGGCATGAAATCGTATACAAGAGCGCGCTCTGTTGTCTCAACACAATACCCCACGAGTCCAACTACATTCACATGATGAATCCTTCCAATGGTAGCTATTTCATTCATGAAATCTTGGCCGCCACCAGCTTTAGGCTTGCTCAACATTTTCACTGCTACATCCCTACCACTGCGAAGTTTTCCTTTATATACTTTGCCAAAACCTCCCTCACCTAATTTCTCTTTGAACCCTCTGGTCATTCTCTTTATGTGGGAGTAATTATATCTGATTGGCATGAAATTGTTTTGTGTCTGCAGAAAGCCTTCAATCATATCATACATGGACAAATGCCTCCTTTTGAATTTGAACATCAGAAATACAATTATGATGGGTAGGCCGATCACAAATCTTGCTCCCAAATACACTGCAGGGTTGTGAAGTCATACAAAATTTACTTCTACTTAAGCCAACAAAACATAGAGAGGATTAGTTGTTGGAAAATTCTGAATAATTATACTGACGCTTTAATATAATCTTGACTATTGAACTTCTTACAGTTTGCAGATAATAACAGCCATCTCTAAACTGTTTTGAAATTTGAAGATTTTGAAGAAAATTATTTTCATGAAGATTGCAATTAAAAGCTTTACTAAATTTAACAAAATTCGATATTGTTCTGATAATTTGTTTTGTTTTTGTCTAATTTAGTCTTTTTCCTGGCATATACATGCATAAATATGTCAGAGAGGCCATTTAAAGTAAGGTTATGTAAGAGCATTAATTTGAATCACAGATTATCAAAATTAATATATAGTATCTTTTTGTATGCAGGCTAATTTGAGCTTCTTACTTTTGTATCTTCAAACCATTACAGTTGGTTATGTACTTTCTTTTCTTGGCTACAAAATTAGGTTCATTATAGATAGTTATATGTTGCTGTAGGTCACTTTAACCTAATGGTGTAGATATGAGAATTATTCTGACAAATCAATTGATATATAAAAGATTAATGAAATGCTGATCTCTGTCCGGCCTGATAAATAGCTTGCTACAGGGACAAGAGCTTACTTGTGAAAAACTGAGCTAGCATCACGGCCCCTGGTTAGATTAATCCCCAAGAATTAGCAGATTTAAACTGAAAGTCCATGTAGAATAAATATATATAGAGAAAGATAAAAAGTTTGAGTCCTCACAGAGAATCCATTTCCGTTGAGTAACACCTGCAAAGACATGAAGAAATTAAAATTGTGGTGAATCCTTCTTTTTGATAATTCCTTAAATATCATATGGAGGATGAAGAGAATGTTGTTAATTAAGGAGAATATATTATTATTTAAACTAGTCTAAGTGTACGCGCGTTGCGAGTGTATCCTATCTCAATAAGTATAAAATAGTAAAAATTATATAAATATTTTATTATAAATTATTTGATTAATGAAATAAAGATGAAAGAGGTACAGTGTCTTCAAAAATCCAAGCAAGAAAAAATATAAATTATCAGTTAAGCTTTCAATTTAAAGAAACACTTACAAATTAATTTATGAAAATAACTCCAATTTGTAAACCTAATAATAGATATTATCTAAAAAATATTGTCGAAACACTTACAAAATCAAATTTCAAGAATAGTTATGAATAAATATCAATCAAATTTTTAAAAAACACTTGTAAATTGAGTTTTACTAACCGTGAATAGGTTATATGAAAGAAAAATAGAGGGAAAAATTTGTTCTTATGTGGTTAAAAATTTAAAATATAATGACAAAAGGCCGAAGAATCATTTTTGGTGGCATTTTTCTTGTCAGAAACAACTTTGCCTATTTTTCATAGTCTTTTATTTTCTTGATATTGCATCCTTATTAGGGAACACTAAAATCTACCAAATTAAGCTTCAAAATTAGAAATAACTACATAAGAGTTATTTAAAAAAATAGATACTTCATTGAGGAATATAGGCGAGAATGCTCTCCCATCTAAATTTTCAAAAAATATTATATTTATATTACAAAGTCCAAATAAGAAATTTTTTTAGGTAAAATACTAAACTTTTAAAATCTTATATAGAAATTCTTACAAAGTAGTTAAAATAAGGAAAAAATTACTCCTGAATATTAGGAAAGCATTAAATGACTAATTTGTCTAGTATGAAACTTAGAGCCCGTTTGGCTTAGCTGATTTAGAGTAGCTAATAAGCATTAGGTGCTGAAAAGCACTTTTAAGTTCTGAAACTAATTTAAAAAAATAAGCAGTTATGTGTTTGGATAAAAGTGCTGAAATTAATAATATGCACCTGAAGAACTGGGTATACGAAGAGTTTTGTTTTAAAAAGAAGTATTTTAGGGATATAATAGTAAATATTTTGGTCAAACTTAAAGTGCTTATAAGCTGAAATTTGATAAGTCGGGGGAGACCAACTTATGGCTTTTGACTTATTTTTGGCTTATAAGCACTTTTAATTTTACCAAACGCGTAGATAAGCCAAAAAGTGCTTATAAGCCAGTTTGACCAGCTTATAAGCTTAACCAAACACCCTCTTATTTTTAAAATGTAAAAAAGACTAACAATATTTTGCTAAGCGGCTTCATATTTTTAATATAGCGCATGGCCCTCGTATTAATAAGAACAAACTTTTAAAAATAATATACGTGAATGCAAAATTCAAATTAGCTTGTGAATAAATTCAACTACTAATACAAATACGTAAATTCAAAATTCAACTACTAATACAAATCTTTTTGCTCAATACCCGAACAACACAAAGTTTTGATAATAAAATATGAAATCGTTGTTTCTTTAATAGAAGTAGTCGCTTATATAATTCAAATAAGGTTTAATTGTATATAATTCAAATAGACAAAGAAAATATTATCAAAAAATAAATACTCCTAAATCAAAAAGAAGTTTAAAGTGTTTTGTTTTTTTCTAAACCTAAAAGGAGTACAACGTATGAATGAACTTGAAATTTGAATAATATGTCAAATTGAGTTGCGTGTGAATAATATGTCAAAATTTTATTAACTAAAAAAGGTCCTTCTAAACCTAAAAAGAGAAATTTGATACTCCAACGTATGAATGAACTTGAACATGAACAAAACTTTCATAGTGTAAATTCAATGTACTTGAAATTCTAGAACATAAAGGTATTAAAACATAAAAGTTATAAATATTCGGAAATAATTAAATGATTACTCCTAAATAATAGGGAATTAATTAAATGACTATTCCTAAATAGTAGGAAACTAATTAAATCTTTATTCCTAAATATAGGAAAATAATTAAATAATATTTCTAAATATTAGGAAAATAATGGAAAGACTATTTTGTCCAGTGTGAACATTATTTTAAAAGGGTAAAAAAGCGGAACGACATTTCGCTAAGGGCCTTCGTGCTTTTAATATAGTATAGATGAATAAGTAAACAAACAAGTAGTCCTTACCAAGCCTTTCTCCCAGAGAATATTGAAGCTCAAACCCATAGATGATTGCTTGATGAAAATCAGAAAGAGAAATGTTGTTGTTATGTTTAATGTTAGGCCAAGAGGTTAGCGCTACAAGTTCCACTCTGCATCCATCACTGACTTGAGATGCATTCATTTCTCCAATCTTTAAGTAAGTGTGTGTGCTTAATTTGCAGCCAGTAATTTCCAGAAATGTAGAGGTGGTCGTGTTTATAGCAAATGGACAGTTGAACATGAAAATAGGCTCTGTTACTCCATCAGGATAATAATATGAGTGAAAGATATTAGTATTGTATTGGTCGAATGTAAGATGAAGAGGTATTAGAGAGCACATATCTTGTGTTTGTAAAGATGGATCTACAAGGTGAATTGTGTTGTTACCATAATTGATGGCTTGCACATACCACTTCTTGGATATAATGGTCTTGGATATAATGGTTTGGTTACTTTCACAAGCTAATTCATATAGTGGAAAACCGCAATATTGTGGATCGGTGTTTAAGCGAAAAGGGAAGCTTATGTTATGGATGTGGCCACAGGCAGAAGGGACACAATAGTGTTTGCTCTTCCTAGCATTGCATGTTTGCAGAAAGATGACGATGAATAATATTGCAAAAAGATGATTAAACATTTGTCTAGTGTGCTTCTTTTCTTTTCCTATTTCCAAGTCCAAGAGAGTAACCATTTTGAAGAGAGAATATTAGAACAGAAAGATGACAAGTCATTTAGTATTACATTTCTCTAATGTACCTATAAAGTTCCAATCAGTGTAGTGCTAATCAAGTGAGACATCTAAGGTAGATGAGACAGTATTCCGTATGGTTAAGGCTTTTTAAGGAGTATACAAAAATATTAAAAAGACAATATAGTAATAATTATTGGTCCTTCATGAGAAAGTAGCAAGGAAGTTCCTAGAGGAAGAGGAAGTCATTGCCGTTTACCCATTTATTAGTGATGGAGATAGAAATGCCATGTTTCCGTGTTGGGGCCTTGAATTTTCTTTATCCCCATAATTGCCAATTAGCAAACAAGCTAGTCTTGGCTTGGGAGACTGACCTACTCCACATATATTCATTTGTGTGGAAAAGTCAAACTTGGGAGTAATTGGACAAGGTTGCCAATCACATACACTAACTAGCTTGAATGCATAACTAATAAGTAACCCGTTTGAAAAGCTTTCAAAATCAGCGTATTTTTTGGGAGAAACAATTTGTGTTTGACTAAGTAATTTGAAAAATATTTTTGAGCAACAATTAACGTTTGACAAAACTTTTAAAAAATGTTTTTAAATGTATTTTTCTCAAAAGTGATTTCATGAAGAAATTACATTTTTTTGCTTTTAATCAAAAATATTTTTTTCATTCTAAAAGCTTGGCCAAACACTTATTTTGGAGGAAAAACATTTTTGGCCAAAAAAAAAATGACCAAAACAAGTTTGGCCAAATAAGCTAAATCTCTAACACCGTTTTGAGTTCCATTTCTTTGAGAAATATCGGAAATGAACACTTCAAATTGCCACTAGGGATTAGTCAGAAAATTAAGGCATATAATCAAATGGTATACAGGTGGGAGCTTTTAACAAAATTGTTGCGTCTTTGTTTTTCACTATAATTCACTTCTCCTTCCAGTTCCATGTCTCCCTAGTAATAAGAAAAGAATAATACTACGTATTAGACTCTTAAGAATAATGAAATGCTAGTGTTGTACAGCCAAATCCTACAAGCGAGTCAAGTCAAGAGGTCACACTCAGAAATGGCTCCACACTGTTTTGGTGTGGTCAGGATGCTTCTGCGACGGCGAGATTTCTCCCTACTCTATGTGTGTGAAGGATAAGAGAGTTAAAATTGGGAAGATTGTCAAAGATAAAATCATAATCTATATTTATATTTATATTATTATAAAAGCACGAATATTTCACGCTAAATGTTGGTTCTATAAAATATTCCCGTAATATTAATAGACTTTTATATCCTTCAAAATTTGAATTATCTCTTCAATATTAATGTCCAAACACGTAAAAGTGTTTCAATCATTGTAAAATCCAAATCCCTTGTAACGTGAATTATCCTTTCAAATTATGACTTTCACTCCGTGAGTTGGTTATTCAAACACGAAGACCAGTTGTCATGACCCAAAATCTCACATGTTGTGATGACACCTATCGTGGTACTAGGCAAGCCTCAACTCAACATCTCAACACAGAAGAACTTTTAAATAAAGGCGGAAACAGTTAACATTAAATAAAAATTTTAGAATAGAATATAACTCCAAAATACTAAACAATCCATCCCCAAAACCCGGTGTCACTGAGTGCATGAGCATCTAAATGATAATAACATCCGACTGATAAAACACTGTCTGAAAATATAGAACAATACAATATGAAAGGAAAGGAGAGTCAAGGTCATCGAACGTCATGTAGCTACCTCAATAGTCTCCTGAGTCTAACTCCTCAATCAACAACCGCCGTGACCAGAAGTGTCTGGATCTGTACACGAGGTACAGGGGGTAACGTGAGTACATCAACTCAGTAAGTAACAGAAATAAATAAGGAACTGAGAAGTAGTGACATGTTATACAATGGAGTTATCTCAATAACTTTCAAATAGGATTAAGCATACTTTCAATTGCAGTAATTTAGGCCCAAACAATAATTTCATATCAAATTTGACTGAGCAGTAAGTAATATCCTTCAATAATTTTCAAAACAGTGATATATGGAAGCTACGATGCAACAATAATGTAGCCAATGCTTTCTCTAAGAATAACAGTCACTTTGTCCTCTCATTCACTCCAACCTCACAATCACTCATTCCTCACAATCACTCATTCCTCACAATCACTCATTCCTCCCAATCGCTTGGCACTCGACACTCGCACTCAGCATTCGCACTCAGTAGGTACCTGCACTCACTGGAGGTGTACAGACTCCGGAGGGGCTCCTACAGCTCAAGCGCTATAACAAGCCACCTCGTGGCATAAATAAATCAGGCCCTCGGCCTCATAACAATCATGAATCAGTAACAACATGCTGCGGCGTGCAGCTTGATCCCATAAATATCCTCACAAAAACAGGCCCTCGGCCTCACTCAGTCATAAACCTCTCCAATTACTCGGGCTTTCAAAAAAAATCATATAAACAACTCAAACAGAAGTAATGTCATGTATCAACAATGAACAGCAAGAGACTGAGGCATAATAAGCAAGAAAAGCTATGACTGAGTACAAAATAGTAATTAGCAGCTAATTCAGTAAGTACACGGCCTCGCAGATCTCATTAGTGATCACAGAAGGTCTAAACATGGTTTCTAACGTGAAATACAGTCAATTTCCATGAAAACATAGGGAACATGTATTAAACAATAGGCCAATTGATTCCACAGTCTCACGGGATCGACCAAGTCACAATCCCTACGGTGCATGCCCACACACCCGTCACCTAGCATGTGCGTCACCTCAAAAATAGTCATGCGATAAAATGTCCGGGGTTTCATACCCTCAGGACCAGATTTATAACTGTTACTTATCTTAATTCGAGCAAAATCCTACTCCGCAATGCCTTTTCCTCTCAAATCGACCTCCAAATGTCTCGAATCTAGCCACAATAATTCGATTCAGTCAATAAAAAATATAGGAATTAATTACACATGGAATTCTACATTTTCCATTAAAAATCTGAAATTGCACTAAAAATTCGTCCGTGGGGCCCACGTCTCGGAACCCGACAAAAATTATGGAATATGAACCCCCATCAAACCACGAGTCTAACCATATAAATTTTACCAAAATCCAACAACAATTCGGCCTCCAAATCATTAAATCTCATTTTCAAATCCCTAAGCCCAAATTCTCGATTTACACCTCAAAAACACGTAATCTAGCCGGGATATTCAATAATAATTCGATAATATTGACTAACAATGATCACAAGGGACTTACCTCAAGAGTTCCCGTGATTTCTCGCTCAAAATTGCCAAAATTCGAGCCTTGAAGTCAAAAAAATGACCCAAAACCCGGACTGCTCGAATTAAATCTGTCCAAAAAATTTGGGGGACTGTTCACGCGGGGACTATTCACGCGTACTGTTCACGGTACTGTTTAGAGGACTATTCACATACACTGTTCATGGGTACTATTTCACGGGTACTGTTCACCGACACTGTTCACATGCTGTAGAAAAAATCAGCAACTGCTAAAGACTAAGTGTCTCAATTCAGCAACCGGGGTCATTTACACATATTTCACCTTCCGGTCAATTTATTCAACTTGGCTTTCTCCTTGAAGACTAAGTGTCTCAATTCATTTCAAAACCTCACCGGACCCGAACCAATTACCCCGACAAGTTATATAATAGCTGTAAAGCATGAATTTAGCAATAAATGGGGGAAAATGGACTGTAATATTCAAAGCAACTGGTCGGGTCGTTACATCCTCACCCTCTTAAACAAACGTTCATCCTCAAACGAGTTTAGAAAAATATCTGGAGTCTCAAATAGGTGTGGATATTTTGTCCGCATCTCCTATTCAGTCTCCCAAGTAGCTTCTTCGACTGGCTGATCTCTCCATTGTACTTTCACTGAAGCTATATTCTTTGACCACAACTTTTGAACCTGCCGATCTAAAATTACCACTAGCTCTACATCATAAGTCAAATTACCATCCAACTGAACTGTACTGAAATCCAAAATATGGGACAGATCCCCAATATACTTCCGGAGCATAGATATATGAAATACTGGATGAACACCCGATAGGCTAGGTGGCAAAGCAAGTTCATAGGCCACCTCTCCGATCCTTTTAAGTATTTCAAAAGGTCCAATATACCTAGGACTCAACTTGTCATTCTTCCCAAATCTCATAACGCCCTTCATAGGCGAAACCTTTAGCAGAACCTTCTCCCCAACCATGTGAGGCACATCGCGGGCCTTCCTGTCGGCATAACTCTTTTGTCTAGACTGCGCCGTGCGAAGTTGCTCCTGAATCCATTTAGCCTTGTCCAAGGCATCCTAAACCAAGTCAGTACCCAATAGCCTAGACTCACCCGGCTCAAACCAACCCACCAGATACCACCGTCTCCCATATAAAGCCCCATACGGAGCCATCTGAATGCTCGACTGGTAGCTATTATTATAAGCAAACTCTGCTAGCGGTAGGAACTGATCCCAAGAACCCCCAAAATCAATAACACACGCACGTAACATATCCTCCAATATCTGAATAGTGCACTCGGATTGTCCGTCCATCTGAGGGTGAAATGTTGTACCCAGTTGTACCTGTGTACCTAACTCTCGTTGCATTGCCCTCCAAAACTGTGATGTAAATTGTGTGCCCCTATCTGAAATAATGGACACTGGCACCCCATGAAGGCGAACAATCTCGCGGATATAGATCTATGCTAACCGCTCCGAAGAATAAGTAGTGCCAACTGGGATAAAATGTGCGGACTTGGTCAACCTATCCACAATCACCCAAATGGCATCAAATTTCCTTGAAGTCCGTGGAATCCCCACTACAAAGTCCATGGTAATACGCTCCCACTTCCACTCCGGAATATCAAGTCTCTGAAGTAGTCCGTCCGGTCTCTGATGCTCATACTTTACCTGTTGACAATTTAAACACCGAGCTACAAACCCAACTGTGTCTTTCTTCATTTTTCTCCACCAATAATGCTGCCTCAAATCCTGGTACATCTTTGTGGCACCCAGATGAATAGAATACCACGAACTGTGGGCTTCTTCAAGAATCAATTCACGTAACCCATCTACATTTGGAATACAAATTCGACCCTGCATCCTTAACACACCATCATCT